AACTGGTGTAAACTGGTGTGAACTGGTGTGAACTGGTGTAAACTCTGTCCCCTAACTTTCATCTCATTCACACGTTCATAGTTTTCTTGGAAGCTTCGGTGTATCAGAGGGGACATATATACACCAAGGCAATTTCCTGTATGTGCAAACATACCTGGCAAATAAAAGAATTCTGATTCTGATTCTGATCAGATTTTTGGTTTAAATGTTCCAACACGTCTGGACGGAGACTCAACTGTAAATTTGTCTGAACCATAAGTTGACTCTAATGGCTCTCATAGTTTGTTTTATCCACACAAACAAAAGCAATAGTGGAAATGTGACTACACTCAAAATGTTCCTCACAAATACACACACACACTCACACACAGGAAACAAAGCAGCAGCTGGGTGTGTTAGCGTAGTCCATGTTTATTTATTAGTCTGGGGTTAGTTTGTCGGATATAGAACAGCGCACAATGCAACAAGCAGGTACAACATCAGCACACCTCAATATTGCAGTACACCCCTCCCCCATCAACCCCCTACATATGTGTGTGTGTTGAACTCCACCTCTCCTACACACACACACACACATATCACAGCAGCCCCCCCACCACCTCTGTAATCTCCCTGCTGAATCCTGTGATACTGATTTCCTCGCTCCTTACGACAATACTGACCGCGTCACCGTAACTGATGAGAGCACAGTTGTTATCATGAGCAGTATTGTTATAATTTATATCTTCTTTTTTTTGGTCTTTTTATTTTTTACTAGTTTTTATGTTGTGTTTTTTCCCCAACGTGTTTATATGTATAAAAGAAGGCTGCAACGGAGACAGGCAGACAAACAGGGTCACACAACGACTGTGGTTAAAGATGGACGACGCATCTCCACTTCCTCCCGCTGTACAGAAATGGAGCCAAAATATCCCGGATATGGCCGCTGCTGTCGTCCAGCAGTGACATCACACCTGAGGTCCTGCTGGACCAATCACAAGTCAGTCTCAGCTGTCAATCATGATGTCTCATGACTAAAATCTGCATCAGCAGAAATGATCCGTTTTTTAACATTGATTCTTTTTTTGATGTCCCATCTGCTAACATGGTGGAGGTGGGGTTCATGACCTATACTGCAGATGTTTTGTCTCCACTCTTTGGGAGGTTTCCTGTCGTCCATCTTTATTTCCAGTCGTAGAAACAGTGAGCATCAGTGTCGCAGCGGAGACGTTTAACAAGGCAACAAGTTTGTGGATTATTACGTTTAAAGATGAACAGTTTCCTGTTTCCTGTCCTTCAGTCTGAGGCCAAACATAAATTCAAACACAAAAACTATGAAAGAAAATGTCGACGCTCCAGTTTAACAAAACCTCAAAGTGTTTGGATTGATTTCCAGAGTTGGTCCATCCAGAGCTGCAGACGGCGTCTCGCTCGTGTCCGTTCACACAGCTCCGCCTCGGTGAATAAATGTTAACATGTATGACGAGACTTTTTCAATCAGCAGTATTTTCTTCTGCTGCTTCTCTAAGCGATATAAAGAAACTGGATGAAGGGCGGGGGGGGGGTGGTTCTCACTATGGTTCTACTCTAAATGTCTCTGGGCTTCTAAACGAGGAAGAACTAAGAGGAGACGATGGTGGGCGGGGTTTTATGATACAAACGCTACAGCGTTGAAACGCTGTCGTACAAAATCAAAACAGAGCAACAGATATTTAAAAAAAACATACAATTTTATCATCTTATAAAAGAAGCCATGGAAATAAAAAATGACAATCTCAAGGTTCTATTTACATTCAGAGAACGAGACGTCAGATTCTCTTTCTGTCAGCTCCTCCTCTTCCTCCTCCTCCTCTTCCTCCATCCTCCCTCTGTCCTTCAGAGGGTCCCATTGGGTTTTGCTACAGAGGACCGGCCCTGTGTGTATGTGATGTGTGTGTGTGTGTGAGCGTGGATCTGTGTGTGTGATCACATTTACAAACTAAATGGTTTTTCCGTGATGTTTGTCTGAACGGTTTGAATCTGAGAACAAAATGAAACCGCTCGCCATGATTCCACGTCTCACTCACCAGGGCGAACGTGCATATTTATCCACACAGGGAGGCGCCTCAGTGTGTTCATGACGTTGAAGATAGCGGAGGAGAAACAGAAAGACTAACTCCTCTACTGGTGATGGAAAAGAAGTCCATCACTACTTTTTTAGTGGGTTTAAAAAATACTCCGTATACCTGCTGATTTTGGTTTCACAACCCGGAACATCTCTGACCTTCTCGATCGCACCTCGAAACTCTGTCAAAAACGTTTTACCTCGTTTTTTGTATTTTTTTCGTTTTTTAAGTTTTGTGGTTTTGTCCATTTGCAAGTTTCCTTCTGCAGAGCGTTGATCTCCCGGTGTCACCACAACATCCTGGTCCTGCCTCTTAAACGGGAGGATGATGGAACAGGAAGTGTGTGTGAGGAGAGATGGATGATTGACAGAAGGAGAGGAGGATCGACTGGACTCACTTAAGGCAACGGATCTCTCATCGCTGCAGGTCAGGGATGGAGAGTAAACAATCGCACAGACACGCACAGAGTGACCGTCACTCTTTAAACTCATTAATGTGGAGTATCAACAGAAGGATTCAGAAATGCCTCAGGGAGGATCATGCATCTTAGGTTTCTGCCGCGCACACATCAAAAAACAGCCAAATCATCCCCAGACGCATGCACACTAACTTATATACACCAAACCAACACAAATAACTTGAAACTGACACGAACACATCGTGGTGAAGTTTGAAGATGCATCAAAATTAAAAGAGGGTGACATTTATATTGAAAATAATTCTGAATGTGTTGACGAAACAGAAAAAGACTTAAATGTTTCTACCAAGTTTTTTGAAATTTTGGTCATCGATGAAAAAGTTATTAGTTTTAGTTTTCCCTTTTTTTTCATATTCCTCTCCTGTCCGCCACCTCCCTGTCTCTCCTCCGTACAGAGGAGGGATCTGATTGAGCATATCTTCTGTCTGTCTGTGTGTGTGTGTGTGCGTGTGTGTGCGTGTGTGTGTGTGTGTGTGTTTGTAAACGTAGTAGAAAAGGTGACACATCCTGTAAACAGATGAACTGTATAAACCTGTGGAATGTACTGAGACTGTGTGTGTGTGTGTGTGTGTGTGTGAGACATTACAGGCAGTGGAGTCAGGAGTGGTGTGTCCCTCAGTGTGTTGTTGCAGGCAATGTGTGTGTGTGTGTGTGTGTGTGTGTGTGTGTGTGTGTGTGTGTGTGTGTGTGTGTGTGTGTCTGTGTTTTTGTGATGTGTGTGTGTCTAGCTGGGCCGGTTGAGGATGCTCGACATGGACGGAGCAATGGGGGGAGGCGGGGCAGCTGTGACGGGGGAGGCTGGACCGGAGCTCTCGTTTCCATGGGGAACGGGCCCCCGGCCACTGTACTGGCCAATGAAGGAGCCGTCTTCGTTGAACTGGATGTCCACGCTGTCTCCGTACTCGGCCAGAGAGTCGTCGCTGCCCAGCTTACTTTCCCCGCAGATGGACGGCTGGCTGTCGGAGCGCTTCTCATCGCCATCGCTGAAAAACGACAAACACAAACTGTACGTGATCAGCTGAACCAAGTTTGCTTGTTATAATGTCAGAAAGGGAACATCGGGCCCCACCCGTCAGTGTCTGTTGCTGCACACAGTTCATGAACTGTGTGCAGCAACAGACACTTGTCTCGTAGGACGCTCATCGACCTGAATCACAGGTTACGTCCAAAAAGACCAAATCAGCCGCAGGTTGTGAGCGTCTGCGTCATCGTGTCCGAACATCTCGGACGTATCTGCAGCAGCTGTGTTTTCAAATGAAGCCTCAGCTGGTGAAAACAAACAATGTGCCTCAGATTCAAGATTTTGTTTCTTGAACTCGTCTCCTGTCGGTCTGAACAGGAGGAGGAGGAGGAGGAGGAGGAGGAGGAGGTGTGGTGATCCAAAGACTCAATGTAAGAAGAAGCTCCTGCTTCCTGAAGTCAAAGTAGTTAGATCCCATTCTTCTCTTCCAGGAAAGTTATAACGACAAAACACAAAACTTTCTCAATCCACTACATCTAATGACACACACACACACACACACACAC